CTCGGGGTAGGGCCTTCAATTACCCACACCCAGAATAATACTAACTAATCAGTGGACTGATTCAGTTATCACAAACCCTGAATCCACATTCACACATCCTGGGTCTGGCCACCTTGGAAAAGCCCAACCTCTGACTGCATGAGGCTTTGGGGAGGACACCTAGATGCAAAGCTGTAATAATCTCTTACGAACCCAGTAGTTTTAAAAAACATCTGTCTGAATCTGAACAATGGGACAATTCAATTTTTTATTTTTATTATGTGTTCATAAGAGAAAGTGTTTCTGATAGGAAGTAATAACATATAAAGATGACTTCAAGTAAAATGCCAGTGGAGTGTAGGTAAATCTCAGTCAAGAATCTTTTAAACTTCTTATACTTTCTGTAAATCCGTATAACTGCTAATGATTGTTGAACCCCCAATAATGACTGCCACAGTAGAATTACTTCTGAAAAGGGAAAATTGAAATTGTGGTTTGTGCAGCTTCCATGTTATATAAATTCTTTATTATTTTTCACTTCTTTGAAATTGGCAAAAGAAACTTGGCTCACTGGAACAATTAAAGAAATAAAACAATGTATTCCCATTCCAAGTCATCATTCCTAGTATGAATTTACTATAATGGTTTTTTTTTTTTTTTTTTTACTTTTGAAGTTTTCTCTTTGAGGGAGTTAGGATTAGTAAAAATTACGTATGCAATCATATAATGAAAGAACCTGGAAAGTCCATCTGCTTTTTTGACTAAGCAATTCCTTCCTTTTTACTTTTAACTTAATAAAAGTTGGGGCTGGGGGTTTAGCTCAGCGGCAAAAGCGCCTGCCTGGCAAGCGCAGGTCGTGAGTTTGGTTCCTGGTACCGGAGAAAAACCAAAAAAAAAAAAAAAAAAGTGACTTCCAGGTTTTCAAACCATCTCAACACAGGATGTACATAGGTCCAAATTCTGACTGTTAGGTTACTGTGAAAAACATAAAAAAGAAACTTTTTCTAGGGAGTAGATTGCCTTGAGAATTTCTATTACAATATGGTAGTTTTTTTTTCCCTCTTCCCGATAATGGGTATTGAACCTAGGATCTTTGCACCTAGCTGTATCTCCAGCCCATTTTTATATTTTATTTCAGGATAGTGATTTAGCTACTAAGTTGTCCCAGCCTTGAACTTGTGATTCTCCTGCCTCAGCCTGCCAGGATATTGGGATTATAGGCATGTTCTATCTTGCCCAGGCATAGTAGCCTTTTAACTGGAAAATTTTAAGTCAATATTAACTAGTTATGGTTGAGAAGACAAATAATAACATTCCTTTGCAATGTTGAGGCCTGATTACCTCTGACTTCTCTCAACAGTCTAGAATTAGAACATTTTTCCTGGGTAAAAATGTTTACAAGAAACCTTACATGTCTGCGATTTATGTAGTGTTTGGCTTAATGTTTTTCACACTGCAATACTTCAAAACTTCAGCACAATTTCAGCACTTTTCTGCAAAGGCAGAAAATACAGCATCTTTTAATTTGAGACCTCTGAGTTGGCCATACATGGAAATGTCAGGAGGATTTTGTGGCTTCCGTGTGCCGCAGCTATGTGAGGACGTGATACAACTGGAAGGAGCCCTCCGATTGCACTGACAACATGTGCTGTGTATTAATTTGGTCTCTGGGTCTTCATTTCTTGGTGATAGGGTCATATTTGGTGGGGAAGAACTGTCTGGGCTGACTTTCTTCGTAATGATTATCTTCCATGCAAATCCAAATAAGACACAGACACTGTGGGTGCCGAGGATTTTGGTGCAAATCAGGGTTAAGAATAACAAAGGAGGCTGTTCTGTGTTAGCAATGAGAAAGCAGCCGCGGAGGCTAGCACACAGGCATATTCCAACCAAGACTCCAATAAATGTAGTGGTTGAACATCCGGTGACTCAGAATCGTTGCCAGCGGCCAGATGCACATCCCCCCATCCCATAGCAAACAGTGGGGGAGATTTGCAAATGCTCAGTTGCTATGGTTGGTGGAGAAACACAGAAAAGAAGTGTTCTGCTTTGAGGTAATTCTGATGGAAAATAGAGGGCTATCTCAAATCCTTTTGCCTCAACTTCGTCCAAACTTGGAAATTACCTTTATATATTTTTCTCTAACCAACCCCTCTCCTCCTTGGTTTATGCAAGTAGCAATGTAATAAAAAATCTAAGACCTTCACAGTGAAAACTCAAGTTGATTTTTGCCTGGAATATGCCTGGTTAGAGAAATATTAGTTTTTCTGTGTACTGAAATGTACTCTTGAAAAAAAAAAATGTACTCCTGGAACAGTGCTATCTTTTACATGTACTGATTTCACATATAGATAAAGTAATGAATTTTAAGAAGCATGTCATCTTTTCATAACGTACAAATAGCAGTAGCCCCTGGTGATTAATTGTGGTCTGGGCCGTCCTTATTTCCTTAAGTCACCTTTTAAATATTTTAAAAAATTTATTATTTGCCCTACCATCCTGTAGGTATTCCCACAGTGCGTGTTCTTTTAGAACAGAGAGGGTTTTAAAAAAGACTCATGTCTTATTTCCATTTCCCTTTCTCTTGGTTTACACCCCTCCACATGTAGGGAAGGGAACATTCTTTGCCAGATTCTTAGACCTTTCCCTTAGGCAAACTTCCACGAACACCCACGCAGCCAAGACCACTGTTTGGAAAGAGAAGTAGACAACCGTTCTTTGGAATGCTGGATGCTTGTTTTAGGAACTGGGAGTGAGAGACACAGTTAGGGAGGAGAACATAAATCCTAGGAGTGACAGGAGGCTCCTTCGCACAGAGGTCTGTGGTCAGTGTAAGGAGTAGGTTCATGGTACATGTCATGTAATTCTATCAAATCATGCAGTTTTATCCTGGGTGAATGAAAAGCCACACTCTGGAGAAAACACAGAAAGA